CAGAATGATTGCCTGACCTTGTCAGTCAAGTCAGTGGTTTGGTAGTGATCTCTAGCCAGATTCTGCTCTCTACCTGTTGTATAGGAAGGCCAGACACTTCCCTTCCATGTGATGGTATCTTTCATTTGGTTTTATCTTCTGCATCTTGAAAGCAAATGTTTAAGACCATTAATCTGTGTTTTCCTTTCCATCTGGTGGCAGAAAAGGAAATTATAAAAAATGAATGAAAGATTTTATAATGCAAATTACAATATGACTATTTTACACTTTAAAGTTTTACTTCTTGTTTTGTCATTTGAAATTGATTTATTTAATTTACACTGTAATGAACAAATAAAATTGCTTCAGTCAATTTATGTGACCTAATTTTATATCTGAGCAAATCATTTTTATCAAAGCTTGCTTTTATGTACTGTTGCCTGTAACACATCATCAGAAGGAAAACAGGGGTACATCGTGACAGAGGCAAAGTTGGAGGGAAGAGAGGCAGAGGTAGACCAGCAGAGAAGATGCTGGACAGTTCAGCATTATGGCATGCAACAACACATTCATCAGAAAGGACCGACCGTTCACGAGAAAGATGATTGGGGACATCAGACATTACTACCAGTGCAACAATGTTGTGCATTAACCTGAGTGTTAACACTGTCTTTAAAGGGAGCCTAGGAAAATAACCATGTGACTACGAGGTAGAAGCAAACAGATGGGCCGTAAAAACATGATAGTGCCTTGCTTGGCGGATGGTCTAGAAGGGAAGCTCCAACAAGGATACTCGGTACTGCTCTTTTGTCCTGCAGCTACTGCAGCTTGCTTTGCTCCGAGTGTTATTATTCTGATCTTTCCTCTGCGGTAAACGAGGCACACCAAGAGGGGATGCTCATCTGCCGGGAAACACACGGTTGCTACCATACTGGCCAGGCTTTGTGATATGGTGAGAAGGAACATCGTCCTTGGATGTACATGTTTCTTATTTTTATTTTCTTTTTTTTTTTAAACTCCTTAAAGATGTGTACAAGTGGGACATGAATGATACAGATATCGGAGTGGATTTATGGAAACAGAATGCCATAGAAAATTTTGCATACAGTAGAAAAATCAGCAAGGGAATAGGGATAACTAAGACAATGACTACAGGTAGGTTAGTAAGTAAAAGTAGGTAAAGGACCCTTTTCTACTCCTTTAGGCATGAGGGGCAAATAGGGCTAGACCTATATTTTATAGACCAATCGGAACAAGATGGGTGATGTGGTCATCATCATGCCAGTAGTCTTTACTTCCTGGGACTGCACCCAGTACCCACTCAAGGCTGGGTCGACCCGGGCGCCAAGGTATTTTTGACAAAAGTCCGGCTCCGCCAGGGAGCGACAGATAGGTTTAGTGCTGAAAATAGCGCGTTAAATTCAAACAATCGCCCACAGTCGCAGCAATTCTCCTGAAATCCCATTTTCTAATTTTTTGAGAAACTTCTCCTAATGCAAGCATGTCTTGCTAGTCACTGTTGCTATGGTTTCCATGCTTTTCTTTAGCACATTATAAAACGATCATCCGGAAAGATGCAAAAGTATAACAAACTATGGCGCAAAGGCACTGGTATGCCAAGCTCTGAGTGTACTGACCAAGACCTTGCATGCCCTCCACATAGGAAATCCTGGGCAAACTTCCCTAGTATGACCAACGATAGTAGAGTCGATCCGGCTTTCCAATGAATGCTTGGTATGCGTTATGCCTGGTGGGATCCAACTCTGATGGTTGGTAACAAATACCTGAGTTCTGAACTCTCTACTTGAAAAGCTCGACGTCACAGAATTCCGGACACGTCCATATTTACTCGTCTTCTTCCTTCCAACCAAGTCTCCATAATGACGGTATCCGTTGTAATGGACTCGTCTCGCCTTCCCCCTTAGCCTTGAGTGCCACCCAGAGCTCCTAGAATATGGGTTGGCAAACTATGACCCGCGGGTCAAAACTGGCCGTCGTGCAATTGTTACTGGCCCGCGAGGCTGGTGTAACATTACTATATAATCGGGCCCTTGAACTCACAAAATAAAAGAGCACAAAAACAGGGATTTAAAAAAAGTGATAACCAAAAACTGGTATCACCAAATCTGTGATCCTGTTAAGGAAACAAGTGTTGCCGGAAAACTCGTTTAGAGATGGTGTTTGTCGGCGGACTTGGATAATAAATAAAGCCACGACCGTTCTTTTTCTCTGAACAGACATATTTGGGAATACATGTATTAAGAAAGGGTGCTTGAGTGGACCTTAGTCTCATGTTGTTGTTTTTTTTAACTTAAAAAAAGTATCAGAATTATAAAGCAATTGTCTGAGGTTTCTACATCCATCTTTTAATTACCAGGCATTTATTTCTTCTGACTTGAACAGTTCCCTAGCAGTCCCAAAGTTTCTAGAATACAAACAAAAATCAAACGACAAGATAAGCCTAACTTTCAAGCACTGGAAGTAACGTCCCTTGAATGATCCCCTAATTGTTGAAAATAATTTTCCTAATTGTACAAAATAATTTACCACAAAAATTCGTCAATGCAGACATTTTTATTCTTTATCTTTAAAATATAAATCAAGATATTTCAAACTATATTCAACAAGCAGGTAACAAAGCAACAACTAAATACTGTAGATAATTGTAAACTGATCAATCCCCCAGGACAACGGCCGAGACTACACAACCAGAAGGAAGCCATTACAAGTGTACGTCTACTTGCTTTTCCGTAAAATAGTTGCTGGAACGTTTGTTTTTATGAGATATTGCGATGATTTTATTCTCATTGTAGTGTTTCATGCCCTGCACTTAGTTTAGTAGGCTGTTATTCTACCAATGCTATGGTTTCAATTATTCCGTCAGTCCTTTTCTTCGGCGTTCTGAGCCCTTGAGGTTCATTGCTGCCTCCATTCATCTCTCTAGCTGGCCTTCTCTATCCAGTTGGTGACACTAAGTGTTTGTAAGTCTGCCTGGACATTATCTCTCCGTCGTCCTATTTATTCATCTCTCTAGCTGGCCTTCTCTATCCAGTTGGTGACACTAAGTGTTTGTAAGTCTGCCTGGACATTATCTCTCCGTCGTCCTATTTATTCATCTCTCTAGCTGGCCTTCTCTATCCAGTTGGTGACACCAAGTGTTTGTAAGTCTGCCTGGACATTATCTCTCCGTCGTCCTATTTGTCTGCCTCGTGGTCTGCCCTATGTATAGTTTTTACCACTCTGTCATCTGATATTCTCTCAATATACCCCGACCATTTCAAAATTATTATTCTCTGAATAGTATAAGTAATTACCGTTTAATTTACGGCAAAAATTACCTGTGTGATAGGTTATACGTGGAAAATATAATTTGTATTTTGACATTTCACTTAAAAATTATAAATTAATTTAGTGATCTGTCGTTTTCCTGTCTGCCTTCCACCTTTCCGTTAGTTAAAAGTTAGTTACACTTCTGTTACGGAGCGTTGAAAACTATGTACAGAATTTACTGACTAGTTGTGGTTCTATAGGCAGTTTTCTATGTTGTACTCAACGGCCGACACTGCTACCGTTACCGAAATCAACGCAAATAAGTTTGCTGTCCAATAGCATGCAGCCGAATCTAACCTGATATGTCGGTAATATGAAACTGCGATTATAACCTCTAACCTACGGTTTCTGACTGCCCTTTTATTTGATGCCTTTCTGTTTCTGGATTATCACTGAGATTTCTTACACGTATATGTGTGTGTGTCTGTATGTGACGCAGTCTGTCGCATACACACTTGCCTTTTACTTTCCCACCTAGTATAATCTTTAAGTAGTACATTTGTTGAGCCTT